TTCCTGATGCTCCTTCCTCCACTTTCAAAGTGTTAAAATTACCAGATGGATGGAGAGATGGCTCAGCGTTTAAGAGTTTTTAGCTGAATTAAGTTCCCATCGCCCACATCAGGCAGCTTATAACCACTATCTGTAACTCCAACTCCAGGGGAATCTGACACCTCTGGCCTCTTCAGGCACCTGCACTCACATGTGCACACAGATACTCACACATATACACATAATTTTTAAAAACGGGTTGGAGAGCACTGGCTATTCTTACAGAGGACCTGGGTTTAGTTCCCAGCACCCACGAGGTAGCTACCATCTGTAACTCCAGTTCCAGAGGATCCGACATCCTCTTCTGGCCTTTTTGGGCATTGTCTACATGGGTGCACTTACATACATGCAGGCAATACATTCATACACATAAAGTAAAAAAAATAAATAACTTTTTTTTTTGTCTTTTTGATAGAGTCTCCCTGCAGACCCAGCTGGCCTGGAACTTGCTATGTCGTCCAGGCTGGCCTCAAACTCACAAAGATCCATCTGCCTCTGCCTCCCAAGTGCTGGGACTAAAGGCATGTGCCACAACCTGGCTCCAAAAAAAATAATAATAATTTTTATTTATTTAATTTTTTGTCTTTTTGAGACAGGTCCCCTTGCAGCCCCAGCTGGCCTGGAACTCACTATATAGACTGAGCAGGCCTTGAACTCACAGAGATCTGCCTGCCTCTGCCTCCCAAGTGTTGGGACTAAAGAACCAGAAGAGCTGGGTGTGGGGGTACGTGCTTTTAATCCCAGTACTTGGGAGACAGAGGCAGGAGATCTTTGTGAGTTCAAGGCAAGGCCAGCTGGTTTACATAGCGAGTTCCAGGCCAGCTGGGGCTACAGCTGTGTCAAAAAGGCAAAATGAAAAGATCTAGAAGAATATGTGGGTCTGTATTATATGATACTGAGGATAGAAATCGGGGCTTTGTGCATGCTAAGTAAACACTCTATTAACTGAGCTACAGCCCCAGCCTTTAACCATGTTATTTTCTGTCCATACTAATCTACTCTGAGCAGGCTGCTAATTTGGCCAGAAATCCTTCCAGATGCTCCATTTTGATTCTAACATTCTGACCGTATCCACTACTATTCCCCAAGTCACTTCACATTTCAGTCAACTTGTCTACTTGAAATTACCAGAATCTTTGCTTGTTCTGTGGGCTTTTCCTCAGGCTCCTCCCTCTATCTAGACAGCGCTCTGCCCCCATGTCTGCCCAGTAATGCAACTTATTAGTCCAGAGGCAGGTCAAACACCAATTGTTCAGGTAGTTTTCCTCTCTTCTATTTACCTCTATCTTGCCACCCAAGCCTTGCTGGCCACATGTTGACTTTAGATCAGTGTTTATATCTTATGATTTCTTATGTTTGTCCCCCACGGTTTCTTAAGCAACTATATGTCCAGAATATGTACTAGATACTTGACATGTGTTGTCTTATTTAATTCAACCCTTACAACAGCTTTATGAGATAGATATGACTATCCCCATTTTATAGGACAGGAATCTGAGGGTGTCAGGAATTATCTTGCATCCTGACTAAATAGCAGAGTCATCACTCATTCGACAAATTTTATTCCAATCTATGTCTGTCAGATTCCTAAGGCCCCTGGGCTTTTCAATATGGATGGGCAGTCCCTTTGGGGGCAATTAGCACAGCAGCCTCAGGACAAGGCAACCCATGTTAAAGGCAGTTCTCTGTTGCTCTTGTTTGATTTAAGACTCATTGCACTATGAAAAAAAAAATGTTTGGCTCTCAGTCAGCACTTAGCCTGGGCCAGCACCAAGCTAAAGAAGTGATTCATGTGAACAAACATCATCCAGGATGTTTAGTTCCACTGGTGACCCTGATTATTGTAAAACTGTGACAGGAGCACCAAGCCCCGGCACACATCCAGCAGTTCCCCTCCCAGCTCTCTGCCACCTCAGTCAAACTTCAAGCCAAACCACTTTTTCCTCATTCAATCCAGTGGGATAGTTCAGCTTTTATAGACAGCCTGTAACAACATCACTGTCACTTGAATTAGCCTTGGCTTGATAAGAATCCCTGACATTAACACCCAAAGTAGACTCAGGGGAAATTCCACAATGATTAAGAACTGAGAAAAGTCTTGCATGAAATTTTTGCCATTTGGAATTGGAAATGCCCAAACTTTGTGGATCAGTTCATATTGCCTTAATGAAGAACACTATAATAATGGGTTTATTATCTTCCTTATTATTTTGGAGTCAAGGGTATTCAGAGGCCAACTGTTTACTCATGGAGAGTGTAAACAGAGCTCACTGGTGCTCATGATCAATGAGCAATGCCTCCTAAGCCATTTTCAACCTGGCAACGGGTGTGGATCTAATTAAAGAAGCTGAGCTGAGAAGTGGGGGGTGAAGCCATCTATTTGTGTCTGAAGTGTATTTTTTTCTTCCAATCCTCAAGACAATCCTCTCTGAGGTCAGAGTTATATCATAATATCCATTCTACAGCTTCAAAAACTGTGTAGTAACAAGGACTGGAATTCCTGAGTGCTGAGCACCTTTCTGCTACCTTCGGCTCACTCTTTCTGTGGTAAGACCATCTGCTTAAGCAAATATTGGTTGTCTAAAGAAGACTAAAGACAAAATTTGCACACAAGGTAGGGTTCACAAATAATATTCTTCCTCCTCCCAAACCAAGATGATAGAAGTGTGTTTAATGCCTTAAATGCTTCACATTGCCCACAGTGGAAAAAGATGTAAATGACAACTGGTAGATGAACTGTAGAATTCTTTTTTTCTTTTTTCTTTTTGAGACAGGGTCTCCCTGTAGCCCCAGCTGTCCTGGAACTCACTATGTGGACCAGACTGGCTTTGAAATCACAGAGAGGGATCCACCTGCCTCTGCCTCCTGGAATTAAAGGAGAGCTGTAGAATTCTTACCTTTCACAAAGGAGATGCAGTGTTTAATCCTTAGGTAAGAGGGTTTGCTTGGAATTATTATTGTACTTGGTTAGATCACCAGCCACCAAGGTCAGTGACCCACTGTCACCAAGAAAATCATCATTTTCCTAGTCATCTTTAAAATATGTCATAAAGGCCTAGAGAGATGGCTCAGCAGTTAAGAGCACTGGCTGCTCTTATATAGGACCTGGGTTCAGTTCCCAGACCCACATGGTGGCTAACAGCCATCTATAACTCCAGTTCCAAGGGCTCTGACACCCTCTTCTGGCCTCTACAGGCTTTGCGCAACATGGGCACACTTACATACATGCAGGCAAAACATATACATAAAATAAAAGTAAGTAAATAAAAAAATTAAATATGTCATAAAGTAGCATGGTAGACATGTAGATGGCCAAGGCAAGAGTGTCACTGGGACTGACTAAAGTTTTAAAAGACTCATTGACTGGAATAACTTTTTAAGTTATTTATGGTTTGATTTTGTTTGGTCTGGGAGGGCGGTGTGATCCAGCATGTGAAGATCAGAGAACAATTTTGTAGAGTTTATTCTCTCCTTCTACCTCTACTTGGGTTCCAAGGCTCAAGCTCAGATCACCAGACTTGGACAGTGAGCACCTTTACCTGCTGAGCCATATTGTCAGTCCCAAGTTATTTATATTTTTCTGAGACAGAGTCTCTTGTAGCCAAGCCATGGCTAATGTTGAACTCACTATGTAGCTGAGGATGACCTTAAATTTATGATCTTCCCACCTTTACCTCCTAAATGCTGAGATTGTAAACAAGCGCCATCAGAATTGGGGTGTACTGGGGATCAAACTTAGGGCTTCATGCATTCCAAGCAGGCACTACATTCCCAGCTCTGAGTCACTTTAGATATTGATGAATCTTTAAGATCAAAGTTTATCCATATAAAAATACCTCCTGCTTTTTTATGATTTGCTGTTTGCAGGCAGGCTAATGCTCAGAACCTCTTCATGATAATATATCTCCACATGGGATGGAGTTGTGGCATTGCTAATTAATACTAGTGACTTATAAGGAGTATTTTTACCTCTCAAAACCTTAGCCAGCTTTGACATTTAGCATTACTCCTACAATGTTAGACTTTTGACATGCTTTCAAGCAAAAATAACTTTTATTTTGCCTTCTTCCAATATAGTTCTTGTAAATACTTTACTGTTGCCACTACCATATGGTTTTTTTAAAGTCACTTCGAGCACAAACCAAACATTGTTATTTCATTAATACAGAAACTACTGAATTATGTTATTCCTAATGTCTTTTTAATGTTCCCCCAAAATATTTTTCAAAAAAAGCATTTTTTTGTTAGAAGACATTTACTACCTATTGCCTAACTTATGTTGCTCATGTTTTAGAAACACCTTGAAAAAGACGTATGGCATATATTAGCAGAAGTTCAGAGGACAGATAGATTGGCAGAAAACCAGGTGTTTAAAACTCAAAATTGGGAAAAGATGGGACATGTGCTAAACACTAAACAAGGTGTTCTGGGGAACAGAAGCTTTATGGGCAGATCAGAGTTAGTACTCAGTAAGGGCACAGAGCTCTGGGTCCTACTGTCCCTCTTCCACTCTTCTCAAACCACAAAGATTCTGACTTCAGTCTGCTACTTTTTTTTCTGGCTCTCTTAATCCTATTCTTACCTTACTCTCCTCCTTCCCTCTGTCTATTGGGCCTCTCCGTACATTCTCTTGTTTTGAACCACTTTTCAGGTAATTTCACCCCATCAGAAAAGCCCCTCATGGGGTTTTCCTCTGTTCTTTCCAGAGACTAGGTCACTCCTCTTTAGGAGCACGGACCTTTTTCCACTGAACCAGCACCCCAAGCTGTGAGGGTGATCCATTTCAGGAGTCCTCCCCCATGACGCCAGCCTGCTCCTTTTCCCTACTCCTACTTCTCAGCTCCAGCGAAATCTGAACTCTGTGGCCTCTGAAAATGTGTCTGGATCCCAAGGTCTCCGTCTGGATCCAAGATTTTTCTGACCAAAGTGGGATCAGGTCAAAGGGGTGGAGTGGACAGTACCTCTTTGCAGGCGTGAAGCTCAGGTCCAGTTCCCAGGGTCACCTGGAAGGCAGTCCCGGCCCAGAGCAACAGCCACAGAAGCCGGGTGGTGCGCCTCGCAGTTCTTCCTCTGCTTCTGGCAGAGGAATGGGGGTTGTGACCAGGCTCAGCCATAGCGCAGTCCTGAGCCAGCGGCAGTAGCGGCTCAGGTGCTGCGAGGGCTGCTTATGCTGGCAGGAGGAAAAAACGAGGAGGGAGGTACACTGGGGGAGGATGCAAGGGGCTGGACTCGCTCCAGTCAACTCCCTGCGGCTACGTAGAGGCCGCCCATCCTTCCTCCTCCCGGTGTCCTCTCCTCCTCCTATCCACGTCGCCTTGACAACCGCATCCTCTTGGCTGGGCGCGGGTGGGGCAGGGACCACGCGCCTGTGCCGCTCACCTGCGGGTCTCCATGGCAGCCGCCACCGCTGGCGCGCGCGGCGTGGGAGTACGCGCGCCCGGGTATGCAGCCAACCCTGCAGGCTTACGTAAAGTACGAGGTAGAAGCACTTTCCAAACCATCATCAACAACTCATTTTTCTCCCCATTCCTCTTCCGGGCCAGGGGCTATTTCTGAGCATCTCTAATTTTGCAAACGTGGTGTATGAAATGCTAAAAGGAGGAAGACGTCATCGCTACCCTCCCTGAATCTTCTCCTAGAGTGGTCCTAGCACGTATTAGCAACTGCAAAAGCTGCTTTTGGAGATCTTGCTTCCATCCTTCCATCCCGCCAAATCCATCCGTATTTTTACAGACGGCTGTAGGAGCAGCCCTGATGTTTGCATAGTTAAAACGACTATAAGCAAGGAGGAGAGTTTGCCTCAACCCGCAGTTTTCCAATGGGCTCTTCCATTTCTTGACATTCTCATACTCTCGTGGCTTTGAAAATAGATGGTGGGAGAAGGAAAGTTTGGCGTCATCTTTTAGGGATTCTCTCATGAGACAAAATCTTTTGCCGAACTCCCGTGCCGTGGAAGGCCAGCGTGTTTCAGCTGAGGCTCGAGGAGTGCAAATGTCAGGGCTCCCAGACTCTGCCCTGGGCCCCCTTTCCTCCCTTTCACCGCGGCCTCCTCGCTAGTTGAACCGCCAGGAGGCGCATCTCTAAGAAGGGAATGCATCTCAGTCATAAATGGACCTATAGTTACCAGGCAACCAAAAACTGAGCGTTCCAAACAATTGGGACCCGGGATCTTCTCTGAGCTAGGTAGTGCTGCGGCTGCGCTGATCTCCGGATAAGAGGTGTCTGTCTGTCTCTGGGCCTTTTAAGCATGCCTCACACTCAGGAATCTTTCTCGAACCCTACGTTAACTAACGAGGACACATCCTCGGGAAATCTTCGGGCTTCTAAGGTACTGGGGTTTCCTGAGAAAATTCCCAATAGGGTCGTCAGCAGGTTCCTTTCTGTTGGTGTGAGCAGCAGCGATGGTAACCTGACCTGGTAAGATCACTGAGTCAAGTACCGGGAAAAAAAAAAAATCTGTTTTCTGCCTGTCTCTCTGTCCCCATATTCAGGTCTGCTAACATTTCAGAAGTACTTTTGAGCAAAGGAAAGTGAACTCTGATCCAGAGGAACAAGGCCCCTCTCACTAGTGACTAATGTAAGGTGGGGGAAACCCGGGTTCTACCAAGCTGCCTTTTCCTCTTGTTTGGAGCAGTACTCCAAAGATAGATGAGATGTAGAGTAAAAGACACCAAGGCATGTTTCAAATAGGTCTTCACAATACCTCTGTCCTCTGGTTAATGCAAGAACCTGTTTGTGTACATGTGTGCTTAGTATAACTGTGGTCAGTGATCCAGGAATTTAGACAGTGTTTGGGATACTACACTTCTACACTAGTAGAAGTGTTTGGGGTATTTGAAGAGGTATAAAATAAAGTGGGTTAAATGGTATATTGGGTTTTATAACAATAACAAAGAGCTTTCTCTTATTCAATATTTGTTCCTCTCATCCAGTATGTCAGACACTCTGCTAAAATCTGAGTGTATAGTTTAAATTACATGAGCTTTTTCTTTCAATTAGCTCTAGTTGGAAAGACAGACCAGCAGCAGCAGCAGTAAAATGCTTGGACAATGTAGGAGTGGAGGCTCACACCTGTAATCTCAGCACTTGGAAGCAGAAGGACTAGGATATCTTTTTGAGACAGGGTCTCCCTGTAGCCCCAGCTGGTCTGGAACTCACTATGTAGACCACGCTGGCCTTGAACTCACAGAGATCACCTGCCTCTGCCTCCTGAGTGCTGGGATCAAAGGCATGCGCCACCACACCTGGCCACCACCCAGTTTCAAAACAAAATATCCACACAACAAAAGTGCGTGCTCATGTGTTGTAACTGAGTCATACGTAGAGTGCCAAAAGAAACAGGAACTTGAAGGAAGGCTTCCCAGAGAAGGTAAATTTGAAATCCAAATGAGTAAGCTGGGCCAGGTGATGGGAGGGGCTGAAATGAGAAGATAGAAAAATCAAGGCCGAGGCTGGGCATGGTTGCGCACGCCTTTAATCCCAGCACTCAGGAGGCAGAGGCAGGCAAATCTCTGTGAGTTCAAGGCCAGTGTGGTCTACATAGTGAGTTCCAGGTCAGCTGGAGCTACAGGGAGACTTTGTCTCAAAAAGAGCCCCCCCCCCAAAAAAGAGAAATGACAAAGAAAAATCAAGGCTGGAAGTGGTGGGAGATCATCTTTAAACACAGCACCCAGGAGGCAGAGGCAGGTGTAGCTTTGTGGGTTCCAGGCCAGCCTGATCTGCATTGTGTGTTGTAGGCCAGCCAGGGCTACATAGTGAGACCCTATCTCAAAAAAAAAAAAGAAAGAAAGAAAGAAAGAAAGAAAGAAAGAAAGAAAGAAAGAAAGAAAGAAAGAAAGAAAGAAAAAAGAAAAGAAAGGAAAGGAAAGGAAAGAGAAAAAATCAGTCACTGAGGGGGAAAGGAAGCAGTAGGTATGCCTTCATGGGAATGAAGGACAGAGCAGTTTGTTGGGGAATTGCAAAGCCCAGGAAAGCTAAATCCATGTGTGAAGTAGAGACACATAGTGATCATTGCTGGAGATGAGAAGAGTTCTTAGTGGCAGAGTGCTGTTGAGGTTCGAGCTAGCCGGCTAGGAATTCATCCTGGAGGTGTTAGGAATCATGGTTGGATTTCAAGCACCGGAGTGACACAATCAGGTTGTTGTTTTAGAATTTACACACAGCAGTGGATTGAATAGTATGGGAGGGAGCTAAGAGGGATCAACTCAGAAACATGTCCAGCGGTGATACAGGGAGGGGATAAGATGCAAGTGTGAAAAAGAGGCAAAGGCAGGACAATGGGACTTAGTGGCTGACTAGATATGTACCCAAGAGAAGGGACAAATCTAAGACAACTCCTGGTTCTGAGACTTAATTGACACCATTCACTGAAATGGAACATCCCAAGGAAGCAGATTTGGGCAGGAAGATGCTGTCAGGAATTATGTAGATTTTTTTTTTGTGGTGCCTATGGAAGTGTCAAATGGAGATTAGTGGTAGGCAACAGGCTTAAGAGTTTTTTTCAATTTTAAAAAATTTATTTATTTTGCTGGGTATGGTGGCGCACACCTTTAATCCTGTATTTGCTTGACACTACTGTTCAGTTAAGGTTTAACTGAGCTATCACACATTTTGTCGTGTGGAGGGAGGGAGGACAGTGAGATTTCTAAGAGGCGGCAGTTCTCACTGGAATTTAGTCATTGTTCAATCAGCATCTGATTTTTTTATTATCTTTATTTTATGTATATGAGTATATTGCCTACATGTAAGTACACCCATGTCATGCAATGCCCACAGAGGTTGGAAGAGGGCATCAGATCCCCTGTAACTGGAGTTACAAACAGTTGTTCGCCACGATGTGGGTGCTGGGAACTGAACCTAGGTCCCCAGCAAGCCAGTGCTTTTAACTGCTGAACCATCTCTCCAGCCCCAGAATATGATTTTTTTTTTTTTTTGGTCATTTTGAGACAGGGTCTTTCTTTAGCTCCAGCTGGCCTTGAACTCAGAGATCCACCTGCCTCTGCCTCCCGAGTGCTGGGATTAAAGTCATGCATCACCATACCCAGCCCAGAATATGATTTTTTTAAATACACATATTAGGCCATCATGCTTGGTACTGGGAATAGTGATGAAACGTGCATTTTTATATACAGTGAAGAAATCGATTTTGTGCTTTTCTCATTCATGTTTGTGGGGTTTTACAGAACTGAATGTCCAATGGGCTTTTTTCTGACATTCTTTCCTTCTATGACTGACCCTTTACTGCCTAATACTCTTCTCACCTAGACACCACATGCTCTGATTTTGTCCTGCATTGCCTCTCACCAGACCCTCCTACCTCTGGTGATAGATACTATGCAGTCTTCATGAACCAGCTTTTCTTTTATTCAGGCTCTTTTTCTGCAGGCTTCAACTATCACTGCACTTGGACAACCTGATCTTTATTACTTGTTTCAACCTTGTCTACAACAACTCATATGATTCCAGTTTTCTGTCTGTTAATACCATTAGAAGACTAATTTTTTCTCAAACTCAGGACTGCTGGACCTAAGCTCATCATCAAAAGCTGCTCCTTACCCTCTTTCTCCTTTCTTGACAGCCAACTCTACTAGCTTCTGTTTTCCTGGCCCATTTCAGTCATTTCTCACTGAGAGATTAGAATCTTACACCCATGTTATTATTCTGTTTACAGATATCCGAGATTCAAATAAAATGGGATGTAGTAAGAGGGTGTCATTGATGCCACTACATCAGCAAGGCCTCCTGTATAACAGGTCCTGGATGTGATTTCTCTTTTGCAGAAAATGCCATGTAAGAACCCAACTCACCTTACTCAGCAACAGGAACCCTGGAATCGGCTCAGCTCAACTCCCACCATCACCTCCATGAGGCGAGAGGCCTATTTTTTTGATCCCAAGGTACCTTGAATTGAAACACTATTTTCCTTTTCATTCCTTAGGACTCAATTATCTTTTTTTGGTTTTCCTTGAGACAGAGTCTTAAGAAAGCTATATCTAATCTACAGACATAGATATAGATAGATATCACCAAGGCTGGCCGCAAACTTACTATGTAGCCCATACTTGCCTGGAACTCTCCACCCTCCTGCCTCACCGTCCTGAGTGCTGGGATTATAGGCATATGCCAGCATGCCCGGCATTAATATCCTTTTTTGAAAGGTAGTCTGAAGTTCTTCAACATTTTCCTCTTATTATCCCTAGACCAAGATATTGCCAAATCCTAAACCAATTTATTAAGTCACAAGGCTTGGATTTTGTTCCAGGTTGGTATAAATTGTTTTTACTGAATTTCTTCTCATGCATTGTATTAAATCAAGGGCTGAATATAACAATAAATGAGGTAAAGGTCATTAAGCCCAAGTCAGGGACAATTTTTCCACATCACCAGTGAGCTCTTCACTCCTTCTACCCATGAGTGAGATCATTCCATATTGATGAGTTAAGTCATCTTCATGTATAATGCAGTATGTTAAAAAGTTGAAGAATTTCTACTATTCTGGGGAATAAGAAAGTCGAACAGAATCTGACTAGAGTCACAAGGAGGTCAACATAACTTTGAAGCAACTGACTTCCTCTGTAGATACCAAAGGATGACCTGGATTTCCGCTTAGCAGCCTTGTATGACCACCATACTGGGGCATTCAAGAACAAAAATGAGATAGTGTTACATAAGGAGACCACCCAGGAAACCCATGGGTAAGTGGCAGAGCCTCTTTTCCCTAAGAATGCTATCATCCAATCACACGAGGTAAAAATGACACCTGAAATACCACAAGCACCCATTTGCATACAAATTTCTGTATTTTTATATCTGTAATATAATTTGGTTTTGTCTGGTTTTGTTTTAAATGTGCTGGGGCTCAAACCCAGATATCATGCATGCTGGGCAAGTGCTCTACCACTGAGCTACATCCCTAGTCCATCTCACTGGACTGGAATACTTTACCTTTGAAACCTCAAGTAATTGCTGTTCCCTCTTGCCTTTCTCTTTCTGATTGAGCTCACTCTGCTGTCCCCACTCCATTTTCTAGAAGCAAGATCCAGTTTCCTGGAGAATGTTTACACCTTCCTCCTTTAGGCCCCATCTCTTCCTGGGCTAACATCAGACAATGGATCAACCCTAAGAAGGAGTCTATCCACAGCATCCAGGGATCCATAGGTGAGGGTTAGAAGATTGGGTGGGCACATGGGGTGGTGCAATAGTCTCTGAATAACCAGGAATCAGAGACTTGAGGTAACAGGCTGGTAGAGCAGATCAGAGACTAGAGAGGGTCTTGGAAAGTACTGATTGACATCTGTCAGACTAACAGTAAGGAGATGTGCTGACTAAAGAAATAAGCAATTAGTCCAGTTTTTCTGTTTTTTAGATGAGCATTAGGTCTAGGTGACATTTCCAGCAGTGCAGGTAAAGGACATAAACTTGGGAGTGGGAGACCTTAACTACTGCCCATCTGTCCTCATGCTAATTTCCCAATTTGACGAGAATCTTCTCCATGGTACCAATAAATGTTTGGATTAAAAGATTCAAAAAAAAAAAAGGGAAAAGGATCTGAAATTTAAAGCCCACCCTTGATTCTCTTTTCTCCAGTGTCTCCTCACACGGCAGCCACGAATGGAGGTTATTCCCGAAAAAACAATGGTGGCTTCTTCTCCACCTAGTGGAGACAACTGGACTAATTTAACCATAGTGGAACATCTGACTGCTCATCTTCATTAAATAGTTTGTTCAAGATGAAACCTAAAGTGTCTGCTACCCATGACACTTTTGATCACTCTTAAAATATGGGAAGGAGGGCTGGAGAGATAGCTCAGCGGTTAAGAACATTGACTGTTCTTGCAGAAGACCCGGGTTCAAATCCCAGCACCCACATGGCAACTAACAACTGTCTGTAACTCCAGTTCCAGGGGATCTGACAGCCTCTTCCATCTTTGGCAGGCATTGCCTGACATGGGTGCACTTACATGCAGGCAATACACACATACACATAAAAATAATAATTAAAAATACTTTAAAGAATATATGGGAAGGAAATTCCCCACTCCTGAAAACTAATCCTATTTGGTATATTTGCAGCTTGGAAAGCCATTTTGCCAGAGGTAAGGATTTAGGACAGAAGAGCCCTGGTTTTGGCAGGACATAGGTATTCACATCTTATAAACTGGAGTCACAACAGTCACACACAGCCATAGCCAATGCATCAGGCACTAAGTATAAAGAAAACAAGAAATAGACACAGCCCATTCTCTTATCATTAAGAGAGTTAAGATTTAACATTAATCTTATTAACACTGTGATATTAGATACTCCGAGTAGCACTATTATTTATGAAGTCACATTTAACAGATTGTAGACCTCTTGAGTTCAGTCATTGGCTGCTTTTCTTTGAGGGCTCCATCTTCCTGGTCCTTGCCATCCTTCAGTCTACAACTCTGCCACTGCCTGAAGTCAACACCCTTTTTTGTGTGAATTTTGCATGTGACATACAGCCCTGACTCTCATAAACATCATTTTTTAAAAATCTGGTGTTTGGATTTCAAGGTACCTAAAATCTGATGCATTAACACATTTTCTGAAATTAGACATGAGGTTGGGAAGATGGCTCAGTGGGTAAAGTGTTTGCTGTGCAAACCTGAGGACCTGAGTTCCAATCCTCAGTACCCACATAAAAACTGGGTGTTGCAGCACACATCTGTAACTCCAGCACTGTGGGAGAAGGGAAGAAAGGCAGATCCTGGGGGCCTGCTGGCCAGCCACTCTGGCTGGCTGAATCAGCTGAGTGTGAGAGACTGTCTTTAAAAAAAAAAAAAGCAGAGGAAAGAGGAAGACACCAAACCACCAAACTTCAACTTAACTTCAACCTCTGACCTTGACACATGCACACATATTTGAGTGTGCATCTATACAAATGTACACACACCCACAAAAAAATTGAAAAACAAAATTATAAGTCACTCATAGGAACCTGCT